GCTCTACTAAATTATCTGTATAAAATCAGTTGATGAAAAAGGTGTCAATAACTCCATTTATCTTAATTCAATGACCTAGGGTACTGAATATACTGCATGTTACACATCTCAGCCTTGAGTGCTTCTGTAACCTATATACACTACCTGTAGCGGTAGTAGGAAACCAGCATTCTTTCTCTGACTTCTCCTTCAATCTTCTGGTCAATGACCAGTAGCATGACTCCATATAAATACAGGGCTTCACACTGTTTGGAAAGAGAAAGAATGAAGAAAGAAAAATCACATAAACACGATTTTGCTGCAACATTTAAAGAAAAACATGTATTTATAAACTAACTCAATGTCAACTATGTAGTCAACACACCATGAAAAATGGCAGGTTGAGGATTTTTGCTCTTTGCCTTCCTTGAAATGAGTCACAGCACTTCCATGCATTTGGTAGACTTAATTTTTTGTCTACTTTGGCACTTACTGAGAGGATTAACTTTCTACTATTACAAAGCTAGTCAATACTTACTAGAAGCTGTTTTCCATCTTCATTAAGGAGGACTGTTTCTAATGTTTGCTGAATGTAAATTCCTTCGTTGAGGTCATCTAAGTATCTAGGAATCATGACAAAAACCTTGGTCATTGACTATTTTGCTCTCAAATTAGAACTCAGTCAATCACATTTTCTCTGAAAGCCAACAGATGCATCAGAACATTTCCTTAGTACAAGCAAGAAGGTGTTTTTCAGACAAAAAAGAAGAGAGGCTCCCCTATAAAATGAGAGACTGGAACCCCTAGCTAGTGCCAACCAGTTGGCAAAAGTTTCCTTCCATATCCTGATGGTGTATGTGAAAGACACTGGAGGATACCTGGCAGGTTACAACTCATGCTCTTAATCTTGTCATGGGTGGGTAACAGCCTGGGAAGGCTGCCATGCAATAATGTAGTAAAACTGTCGTATTTTCAAGTTACCTAAGTATACCTCCTAGAAATACCATAAATTGATCTCAATTGCAATTTGGAAGGTAGAGCTAGAAATAGAGTATGTTCACCTTAATTAACAGATATATTCCAATTAAAGGATTTTCCAGTAACACTACTTAATAAGTAATATCAAACATTTAATCTTTTCATATAACATCAATAATAAAAACAACTCTCATGTTTAAGATTCTCAGTAACTTTTTCTTAGAGCATTTAATGAAGCTTTCATTTTGTTTTTTACACGTCAGAGTAGCTAACTTCAGAATATGGCAACTTCACTGAAAAATTAAGTTCAAGAAAATAAAGCAAATGAAAGTTTAAAAACCCCAAACCACCTGATATTTTGTTTCGCAAGACCACAAAAAAAATCAGCTTAATAATATGAATTTTCTTTCATTAAAAAAAGTCTTCAGGACAATTTTCAAGATAAAGAAAAACTAACTCAAATTTACAATTGAGGAAATGAGGTAAAGAGGTTAGATGTTTTCAAGTCATACATTAAGCTGGCAGGGAACTTGTTGGAGTAAAAGTTAGTGCTCACTCCAGCAATCCAGGTTTCCTGGTGCACATGAATATGCTTCAACAAGGAGTTTATTGGGTCTCTCAGGAAAAAGCTTGTCATCAATAAGACAAAACAGTAATCTAGTCTTCAAAAATCCATATGCATTTAAGATACCATACCTGTTTAAATCTACAATGTATTTATGTACACTCTGAAAAGCTAAATAAAATCTTGTCAAAATTTCAATGTTGTTTTCACGAAATTCTTCATCTAAATCCAGTAACTCAGGCTTAGCTTCCAGTTTGCCTTCACAAGTCTCAGGCCCCTGAAAAACAGAAATTCATCTTTAGAGACAATACTTCATTTTGATCTGTACTTGACTGTTCTACAGCAGAACACAGACCATGTACAACCACCCCCATGTGCAAACCAGAGTCGACATATCTTACCAAAACAAGGATCTGCAGTTTTCCAACCTACTTTATGGTTAAATATTGATTCCATAAAGGTGAGTTTTGCACATTGTTACAATCCGCAATGACTTTAAATGTGATTTATCCAATGTAATCAATGGAAAAGAACAGCCAATGCTTTCAGTAAAGCCCCAGTACATCTGAAGGCACCGGGTGCTTTTTGTAGTGCTAACTATCTCCCTGATGATTTTTTTTCCTCTACACATTTCATCTGGCTGATTTCTCAGACAGAAACCATAACACTGAGGGCTCACAAAGCTTAGGACCTTCTCATACATTCAAACTGCTTGAAAATATTAGACATGTTTTCTCCACAGACTCTACATCTAGCTCAGCACTTGTCTCCCGAATTAATGCAGAAACTTTGTCATTAACAAACATGGGGGAAGAAGAGCTGGGATGAAGAACCTGACCTCCTTAAAGCAAGAGTACAACTTTTCTAATGCTTTACCACTATCATATTTCTCATAAGCACCATTCAGTCTTATCATCACCATGTGAATGGAAATAAAGTTTAATTTAAAGTAGTATTAAAATTTAATTGAAAATACCCAGCTGACAATTTTTAAAAAAATACTCTTCTGCTTCTTTTTTGTGCAAAATATCTACATAGAACAAAGGATAAAAGCAGGCACCAAACTGCCTATGAAGTTCAAGTGGACAAAGTAAGTAGTTTCAACTTTTCAAATCTCAAATTTCTCCTCATTAAGTAATTCTAAGAACTGTGAATACAGAAGGGGTGCATTTGCAGTAAAAGTATCAGTAAATTATCTAATCTCTGCCTTATGGCTTCTGTGGATATTTTGGTTTAACTTTGAAAAACAGCACACTGTTACACTTCCTTAACATTAAAAAATACTACAGCTTTAAGGATTATTGTATTTCTCACCAAGTACAGCTATCTGCCTTTAAATTTCCACGTAATTTGTGTAAAAAAAAAGACTTCTACCTAGCACTAAGATCTAAAGATAACTGTGAAATCATTTGTGCTCTGGATTTTCAGTATCCAAGGCTCACAGTTAGTGCCTGAAATTTACAACTCCTACTACAATAAAACTGAATCAAATTTTAGAAGTGCTTCCTTTGCTTTTTGCTTTATTATTACCATTTCTCGTATTGTACAATCCAAATAAAGTCAGATTAGATAGTCGCTGTAGTTTCTTCTTAATCATGCTTGAAAATGAGAGAGGGAACTCAGTACTGCAAGCTTAATTCTGAAAGAGAAGTAAGGGCTTTCCATGGACACTTCTCCTTGACTTATTTAATTATTTATTCAGCACATGTGACAAGTCTGGTGAAAGAACAATCACAGCACTGTCAGACAGGAAAGCACAAAGCAGTTTTCATGGCTCCAAAGAATAAACTATAGATTAAAAGAAGAAAGATGGGAATACTGCCCACGGCACTGCTCTGAAGGAAACAACCAACCATGCAGGCTCAGAACCTGGTGGTGGAAGTACAATTTAGAGGTCCTGCAGCAATTACTACTGCTACTACTACTACTACCACCACCTCCTTAAAATCCAATACTCACATTTTATATAATTGGTATTTATCAAATTTCACACACCAGATGACTCAGCAAACATTTTGGAAGATGTAGTAGTAATAAACACAATAGTCAGGAATGGCTGTTTCACAACCCAAAACATTCTCATGTGAGACAGCAATGCTTTAAGGAGAAGCTCACCAATAAAAGGATTTACCTTAAAATAACTGAAATCAAAGATGATATCTCCATACTTCTGCTGATCAGCCTTGTCCTTTAGCCTGAAAACACCAGGTATAAATTCAGAGAGTCTCAGAAGTTCTGCAATGATGGCATTTCCACAGGAAACAATCCGAAGAATTGCCTGACCACACAGATTGTTTTCAGCCAGAAAATCCACCATTGTGGAGCTGGATGTGACAGGGCAGCAGAAGTCTTGCAGTCTGATTCTGATCCTTACTCTTTAGGTTACTGGAAGCAGAAATCCTGACGAAGAAACCAGCCGCTCCATTAATAACCTGTAGAAACAAACCCACACATCCGGAGTGATTTATATTAGTGTTTTTGATAGTTTAATTTGTGGATATTTAAGCATAGTCTCCAATCTTTCAAATTATGAAATCTAAATTATCCACAACTTTGTAAAATGAAAGAAATACATGGAATTAATTTTCAGCATGTACAGTGAGTTTGAGAAATGACTTGTGTGAGCAGGCAGGGACAGTATGATCTTTGAAAAACAGGCGAAGAACACTACTGAAGAATGAAACAGTCACAAATACTGAAACAATTATGACCACGCAAGGAGACTGGGCGCAAGAAAAGTAAAATCAATTCACAAGAAGTGTTTTTGAGACCACTTTAAAAATACAACCAAAGTGATCATAATGGGTTGTAGCAATAAGGAAAACTTTCATAGCAAATGAAAACGACACAACTCCTTTATTTATTGCTGCAGGAAGAGCTTCCATGCTGTGATTGCATTTCCTGCTCGGTTTTATTCGTTCACGCGTTTCCTGCGGCATACGGCGTGCAGCACCAAAAATAATCGTCTGTGCTTCCGAAACATTTATGGGAAGTTAGGACCAGGCTTGACTTTTCACCAAAGACCTTCTGAACCACTGCGACAAATTTAAGATGACAGTGTGCCGTCCCAAGACAGCTCTGACCCAGAACGAGTGCCCGGAGCCCTCCCAGGTGCCCAGTGCCGCCGCAGGCTCTGCCCCACGGGGAGTACAGCGGGCCCCACACCGGCAGCGGCCGCACCGGCTCCGAACCGGTCCCGTCCCGTCCCGTCCCGTCCCGCTCCGCCACCGCCGAACTCACGGTCTGCACGCAGGCGGCCCCGCTCCCTCAGCGGCTCCCGCCCCGCCCGGGGCGCTCACCCTGCCCCGGCAGCGGCCGCGGGCAGAGGAGGATGGATGGAGGCAGGGAAGGATGGACGGGAGGCGGCGGCGCTCCCTACGACGTAGCCGAGCCCTCCCATCATATGACGGCGCCGGCTGATGAGGCGGTTCCGCCTGCCCCGGTGCCCGGCGCTACCGCCCGCCTGCCTCTACCGCCGGGAGAGCGGCGTGGGGCCGCCCTCCGGACAGCCGCGCTCTCAGGCCGCGGGGACGAGGTGAGCAGCGGCCGCTGGCGAGGGTTGCTGTCCCCGCTGGCCCCGACCCCTCCGCGGGCGAGGGCAGCGCTCCTGGCCGGGGCTCGGGCCATGTCCCTCCGTGCGGGGCTGCTCGCCCTGCCCGGCCTGCCCTGCCCCGGGGAGGCGGCGGGAGGGCCTGGGAGCGCTCCTGGAGCGGAGCTTCCTGCTCGGCCGGCGCTGCTCCCCACGGCCGGACAGGGAACGATCGTGTCCCTGCGGCAGCTCATCACCCGGTGAACCTGGGGCTGGACTCTGATGCTGCTCCTACACCTGAAGGGCTGCTGTTACAGAAGCAAATAATATTTTATTGTTACCTCTGGTTCGTAGTTTGAGATACTGAAGCACAGAAAAGTCGTAGAAACTTGTCATAAAAGTTTAGGTCAATTCCTCAAATATTTAAAACTGAAGCAGAATATAAACTGTACGGTTTTTTTGTTCTTTATCCTGTCTGGACCATTTGATCACTTGGTGAAAAAAAAAATGCCCTCGATAGTCTCCCATTCAGCACGGAGTTTGCTGGTTGTGTTTTCCAGAAGTGAGGGGGCTGGGGGTTGTTAATGGTAAATGCTTTGATGCACCCCTTGAAGAATTTCCTGGCAGGAAACTGTGTTAGAAACACAGCAGTGAAACCACTTCCAGCGAGGAATGCGCCCCTCCTTTGGAACACAGAATGGACAGCTCCAAGCTGAAGTTGAAGAATTCACTTAGAAAGTTCAAGAGTGAAATCCTTGCCTTGGGATCTGTAGGAGACCTGAGGAACTGGCTCAAAGCCAGCTGGGAAGTGGTGGGGGAGCGGGGCCTGCTACCCCAGAAGTGGCAGAGCATAGAAGTTAAAAGTAATGTGCCAAACACTCTACTACCAGGGGTTTAGAAGCTGCTGAGACAGTGCTGGATCCTGGGGTGGTGACCACCTACCTTTCTCTCTCCATTTTCTTTTCCTTTCTCTGGTATTCTTACACCTTCTTCTCAAAATATGTTGTAAGCTGGACTGAAAATTCTGGTGTCTTCTTGTGTCCGGAGAAGTTAAAGTTTGCTGAGCTGAAGTTTGAGAAGTGCCTTATTTTGTCTGGATGTTTTAAAATTTGCCGAGTACCTTAGTCTACTTGAAAGTTCTAAAGTTTGCAAGTAAAAGTTGTTATTGAGTCTCCTGGTAATTTGGTTGTTTTTCCCTGCACTGCCCAGGGTATATCCCACTGCCATCCCCTGAGCCTGTCAAGCAGGCTGGGGCATTACTGGATTGTAACCATTGTCTAAGAAAAATAATCTTTTATTAAAAAACAAAAAGAAGAAAATTTATCCAAAAGAAATTACTTTCCAAAAGACAGATTGAGATCAAACTACCACTGCAATGATATGATTTAATGCCATAACCAGTAACTCTGCTCCTGTATAGTTTGCTCAGGAGAATGTAGGAGCCTTTTTAACTTTTCACTGTTGTTTTTTTTTCAGATTCCTGCTTTCACAGTGTGTATCTTTGAAATTTCCAAAAGAACAGCAGGCTTTCTCAGTGAGATTTAACGAGTTCAAGAGGGGAATTAGGCTCTTTGTTAACTTTGATACATAAAATGGGCTCAGAATGATAAAGCTGCTAACATGATTTTATGTCACTATTCAATAGTGTGTTTTGAGGTTCTATGCAAACAGTCTAGCTAAGATGGCAAACAAGTACTTTTAAAAAACTGAAATAATATGCTAGCTGAAGGAATTTGTTATTAAATCTTCAAGAGCATCATTTTTCTTTACTTTCAGGGAGTTCTATAAGGAACTTTTCCCTTGTCTTCTGTTGTCAGTTTGACAACCACTAAAGATCTCTAATGATAGTAGTCACAGTCTTCTGTCAGGGAGAGCATGAGCTGACATAACAAGAGATGTAGTTGAAGCCTGCTGCATCTGTGGAGAGATGCACCTTTAGAAAGGGATAGAGAGGAAGACAAATTTGGGTGTAATTAAGAAGCTCAATTTGTGGTGAGGTTGAACTGTTGTTAAAATGTTGCTGGAAGCACATGACCTAAAGATGGTGTACTAAAAGACAGTATTGACTGGCCAAGCACATTTTATAAATGGAAAAAAGGGAAAATTATAGGAAATAAACATTAGGAGACAGCAGGTATTCAGATCTCATAGTCTGTGTGGTACCTGTGGCAATGTTGTTCAGGTTAGGGGGAGCACAAGGTGTAGTTCTGGAGTCTCAGGGAAGACCGTAGAGAGATACAGCCTTAGGAATACAAAGCTTGGGAAAAAGCATTGTGCTTTCTATTTAGATGTTTTCCAGATTGCTGTTGGATTATAGCCTGTTAAAGGCTGTTATTGATAGAACATCTCTTCCTCTTCTGGTATACCCCAAATTTGTTTGTGGATTCTGCTCTCTATCTCCCCCAATGGCATTTTGATATAGTCCTTGAATATACTAGTTATTCTTTATGTGGACTAATGCAGTATTTCTGTCTATCTAACAGTTCTGCTTTTATGTGTCTATTTTTCTTTTTTTTTTTTTTTTTTTTTTTTTTTTTTTTTTTTTTTTTTTGGTGTATCTAAAGCTGAAACAGAATTTTTCTGATCTGCAACTTGAAGTATAAAATTCTGCACACCAGGTTCATGTTTCTCACAGTAGCTACATGTTATCTGAGTGGGTTATGGCAAAGCATGAAGAAGGAAGAGCAGAAATTGGAGGTTTTTAGAAGAAACCGATGGATGTGAGCAGTGTGGATAGGCACAGCATAAGTAAAAATACTTGAAGGTTCTATTAATAACAGAGCAGCTAATCCCCACAAGGGTGTAGGCTGTGGGTGTGTACTGAAGAGCCAGAGGGTGGTAAGGAAGACAAACAATGGTACCTGTGTGACTTTATTTCGTGCTAATGGAATATGGGTACCAAAAGTTTGTAGCATCTTTGGCAGAAGTAGGCAGCATTTTTAAAGTGGGCTTTTACTTAAAAATGATGCTAGATGTTTTACTCTTAAGTATATTCTTAGTAGAGTGCCCCTTGGTTAGATTATTTTTTCCAAGAGCCAACTGCTGGTGAAACTAAATTGAAGGTGAGAAATTAAATTTCTTCCTAGCCCAATTGATTATATGCCTAGATAACTCAGACAAGTTTTTGGGCATGTGGGCTCTTTTGGATCTTCTTTTGTATCTGAAATAGAGCAGTAGTCTTCAAGCAGACAATTGTGGAGTTTAAACTTCACTGTGGTTTAGAGGTAGAAATGAGCAGAGGAAAACTGCCTGTTGCTTTTAGTGGAGTAGAATTGCTTAATACTGAATAGGAGGTGAATTGAAAACCTGTGATGAATTGCACTTCCATTGAAATTACTGACATCTTAGGAGCTAAGTTTTCATCCCTGCTCCCTAATGCTTCAGTGATTCTCTTGACACTGCTTTATGTTTAGCTATCTATTAGAACTTATATTAGAACTTTTCTTTCCCAAATTCTTTGTATGCAAACTGCTTTTAATATGTTCTCCCTGTTATTTCTAGAGTAACAATTTCAAGATGTCAGGTGGTCCAAGAATCTCGTTCAATGCAATTGATTCTGCTCTTTCTTCTTTGAAAAACTGCCAGTCCTACATCAACTCTGGAATGGATGTGGCTACTCAGGTTGCCCTTGACCTTGTGGAAAGTTTCAGTAAGTATATTCTCTCTTGTATTGTGTCCTGAATCTAACACATGTCTCAGACCTATGTATTTTGACTTAGTTACTGTTAATATCAATCTTTATTATAGCTCTTCTGGCTTGGCCAGGGTGCTTTCATTACAATCATTTCACTTAAATGAAAAATTCATTTAAATGATAAATTCAGTGAAAATATAAATACCTGGCAAACATTGTCCCTGCTTCTGTGACACTCAAGACTAATTGTGTTCCAGTGGTTGTTACCCTACAGCTTTGTAGAAACTTTATGAATGAGATGGAGAAGGCCCCTTAAGTGGGTGAATAAAGTGAATTTTCGTTCTCATACTGCTTCTTTGTGTGTTTTTATTTGACATTCAGGGAAAAATATATTAAAATAATGGTAAAGATTTTGAATATGAAGGTTAGGGGATATCTGTTAGGCGTTACAGTTTTTTTAAATGATGTCTCTCCTGAAAATCAGACCTTTTTTAGGGTGCTTCAGTTTGGACATTTGCAAAGTGGGGTACTTTAAATCTAATTACTGCTGACAGACTTATAATTGCTATTTCACAATAAAAGGAGCACTGCAAAGCTATTTTTCAACGACTAACATTAGCTGACCCATTTCCTTATCTTAGATCTGTGTTAATGTTGTCACTAGGGAAAAATAAGAACTTTAAAGCTCCAAACCCCTGATAGTTTTAATAGAGTGGAGAGCAGGGATCTTCTGAAAGAAAAGCTCTGCTGTTCATTATAAATCTTACACTCGACTAAGCCAAGGATTACGTACAATTAAGATTTATATTTTTGTCATTGTCTAGTGTCATAGTTCTCCTTCATCTTTTTATCCATCCTATGTCAGACAATTGACATGTCATTTCTAGCAGAAAGGGGAAATGGAAAACTTGTCTGTACAGTCACCTGGGGATTCCCTTTGACATAAAACTCGTGTAACCAGTTCCATTTCCCCTCTTTTAGCAGTCACCATCTCTCCTACTTTGTCATAAGCAATAAATGGAAATACATTGAATGTACTGAATTCTTTCACCTCCAAGATCACAGAAATTAATTATTTATACAAAAACTAAAAGTTTTTATTGATTTCACTTTTCAGTAGGAGCCCCTGTTGCATTCCCATTAGGAGGCATGGAAGGCAACTTAAGCTCAACTGTGCAGTTCTGCAGCTGCAAGTCTGTGCCTTGTACTCCTAGATGTCTCTTCCTCATTTACCTGCTTGTGACACATTAATTAAAAGCTTGAAATTATTTTGTTCATTTAACTCTGTAACCAAAAGGACCCTTTTTAGCATTCTGTCCTGAGAGGAGGAGATTACTCCTCATGAAATACCTGGTTACAGTTAAGTTACATCATGTGACTGGAAAACAACTCTTACCCAGACCATTTTATTCTAGCAGAGGCAACTTTCCTGTTGAATCATGGTTATAGAATTATCAAGCATAATCTATTGTCATAGTCCATCTCATTACACTACAGAGAAGGTATTCCTTTGTAGGATTTGTAGGTCATACTTCTTTGGTCTGGTGTTCCCAAATTACATTTTCACCTACAACAGATATCTTCTTCACTTACACCTTTCCTTGCAGATGTATTTACATGGAATGAACAAATAGTGAAGGTCGTCACTTTCGTAAGGTTTGGTTTTCATTCCCCTGACTGCTCTGCTTGGACTTCATATTCTTGTGCTCCTTACAGAATGCCATCAGGAAGGATACTGGGTTTCTGTGGCATGACATACTTTGGTAAACTCTCAGTGTTTTAGAATTAGCATAATCTGATCTGCTGGACTTGACTGTTCAGCTCTTACCTCCAGCTTTCAGGTGGCAATTTCTGTTTCTAGAGCTGTTGCTCATCTATCCTACTTTGCCTTCATGTTTGGAGGTAAAATACTAATTTAATTTTGAGACAGAGTTAGATAATATATTTCTGTGTTCTTACTCTCTCATTTGCAGTTTGCTTTAATTTCCTTTGCAAAATTTGACTGTCCAGATTCTGACAGGTTTCATTGCCAGGCTTTGTGGAAGCAAGGAATTCTGTTACAACTGTTTATTTTAGTTTACAAGCACTTTTTCTGTGGGTTTATTTTGTTCCTTTAGTCTTTCATAATGGACAATGCTGTTCTTTATGGATAATAATTAAATTTTTCATAGCAAGTACATGACAAAAATTGCATTTACTGCTTAAGATAATTTAAAAGACAGCAAAGTTAGTTTAGTGAGTGATTTTTCCTCTCTTAATTCCTGTTCTCCACAAACAAAATCCTGAAAACATTTACTGCTAAATGCATTTATTAAATGTTTATTTTGTTCTACTCCTGTATAGGTTTATGAAAAGAAATTACTTGTGTTCATTATTTGGGTCAGGCATTGCTCATTTATGAAAGTGTACAATCTCTACAAAACTAAGTCTGTTTATTATTAATAAGGCTATTATTAATAATAGCAGTGTGCAGAATAATTTGAATGTATCTGATCACGAAAACCTCTTATTTTTTGTTGATGTCCATGAAGTTAAATTATTGATTAATATCTCCCTGTCAATAGAGAACCTGCTGACTTTTAGCATTGAACATTGGTGTTATGAGCATGTGCTGGCAAAGAGACAGAATTTTAAAAGATCCTGGAAGGGGTTAAGGATCTGTATCAGAAGTGAAAATTAGTTTCAGCAAACTGAATGTGAAAGGGAAACAGCTAATTTAAAAGCTCATTTTATTTAATGAGTGAAAAAGAAAGAGAAATATTTTTTCCTTCTCAGTCTTTCTGCTGATTATCTTTTAGATACTGACACTGTCTAATGGTTGTATTTTTCTCTTCTTTAAAGAATACTCATGTTGTATAGAAGCATTTTGAAAAGCTACTCTATAAATAAATGATGTGAGCAGAAAACCAGACTGTGCACTTAGTTTCATGTCCTGCCTATGCTCAGAATACTCTTGGACATTCTGTGGCCCAGGCTAGTAAAATACTAAAGGAAAGGACACACTGATATTCATGAGTGGTTCACCAGCCTTCCAAAGGTCTGATTATTTTAAAGCTGAAGTACATGTTACATCCTTTGCTGGATTGGAGACCTAATCGATTGGAGAATTTGAAGATGGCACTGTTCAAAATCAGTTATCATGCAAGTAAAATCATCTCAGGTCTACTGTAATTTGCATCTTTCTAAATCTTGCCTCATTCTGTTTTTGAGCTTTAGTAGTGTCATTGCAGAAAGAGAATTCATTAAGTCACTTGTCACATGTACTGGTTTGGCAACATCTCTGAATTGTAATGCTCTGAGTATTGAACTTTAAGCCTTGTGTTGACACCTCTGCACACAGAGGAACAGCTGTTTGCACTGCTAATTTGACTTCTCTTGGTTGCTGAACTGTCTTTACTTACCTACTTGGAGTAGTTCTATAGAGTTAGAAAACATTGATGGACATCCATGTCAAATACTTGAATGATAAATTTTATTCTCTGTTTTTGGAATTAGTGAAACCTGTGATTCCATGTTGACTGATGTGCTGATTATGGTAAGAATATGCTGGCCCAGGACAAATCTGTCATACCCATGACAGACATCCATTCCCAGCTCTGCTCAAAATTTTTGGATGTAAATTTGGTCAGCTTGCTGAGGATGGCAGTTTCAGGTGACTCTTCAGCAGAACTTTCTCAAGAATGTTGGATTGTAAAGTATGGAGAGCTGTGGGTATTGGAATGAAGAAGTCTAATTCATGGTCATCTCCAGGCTTCCAGTCCAACAGCTGCTCTTTAAATGGGGTGTTACTTTTGTCTGGGCTGGAGTCCAAGCTGGGAGGATTATCCAGTACAAATGGGAAATAACTGGGAGGTCTGGAGAGTATACTAACTACAGACAAGATAAGAATTTCTTAGCATAAAACTTTTGAAGAGCATTTTGAAGAATGAACAGTTAGGGTTTTCTCTCATTAGCTGAATGGGTTTTCTAGTAGAAAGCGAGATGCTTCCTTGGTGTCTGGGAAATTCCTCCAACCACACATCACTTTCCCAGTGTGAAGTGTAGAGGCCATGAAGTGTGGAATAGCTGTTTTTGGGAAGCACTTAGTGCAGGTGAATTCTAATCTTACTTGAGGGAAAAAGCTACCTCTTCTTCAAAAACTTGCTGAAAATGTCATGGTCAGCTGCTGCCCATGACTGTTTGCCATCTGTATTGCATAGCAGTGATCTTCCTGTAGCGCTATCAGGATCTGCTTGAGAATTCCTTACCATCCTTTGAAGGGTTTTTCTGCTCACCACTGTGTACAGAACAGGCCCAGGGGTCTTAAAAATGTTAGTGATACAATTCTTTGACATGTTCCCAGATTAGAGCTACAGCTCCGACTTCTTTCTTTTCTGCTCATTACATAATCTGCTCCTTCTGCCAGCAGTTTACCTCACTTCTATCTGCTTACCCCATTTGTCTGTTCCCCTTGTCCCAGGGCTCCCTCTGTGCTTTTCTTCAGGTGTTCTTCGTGTGCAGTGTGCTGCACTGCATCTCATATGTGCAATGTCCTCCTTTTCTGACTACTTTCTCCTCTCCAGCTTACTGAGATCCACTTGTTTCATCATGTCTGTTCAGTACTAGTTAAACAGTAGTTGGTAATGTAGGATCTTCTTTCCATGTGGATTTAACCCTGGGGGATTAGCACATTACTTTGACTTATCTCACTGCTCACTTAGAGTTTTAACAAGAACAACTCTAAACATTGCTGAGGGTTATTGACATAGGAAGAAGAGTGGAGCATACAGACGTGGTGGTTAGCCTTGTTTATGCAGTTATTGCTAGTATGTGGTTGGATGAATTTATATGGAATATCCACTATTCTTTGCAGTGACTTTCTAAACCCATTGCAGCAGCCTAAAACAGACTTGAACATTCTAAGTTTGTTCATCCCTGAGAGAGGGGCCCTTTCCATTTAAGTTTCTCTGTCATTGACCTAAAACTTCTACTTGGAATGGTATAAACTCCAGTCTGAAAATGGACTCTGTAGCTGT